ATGTGGGCACCAGTTTCTGGGAATGACAATCAAAGAGATTTGGTGATATTTGATAGTTGTGGATGATCAGGAACTTCTGTTGCAAATATCGAGTGTAGATATACCATGTAACTACTTCCTTTGACTGTATCGCGTTCTATCGGGTAATGATGGTATTTAGGAGTAAATAATTAGCAAGGAACACTGAGTTTATACGAGCGAAGAAGAATTGTTTTACAAGCTCCGTTTGGTAGGCAAGTGGGTTATGGTTGTAACTGAGAGATGCCTGATAAGATTGTCACTGGCACGGTTGAAGCACTCCTACAATATCGGCTTGGAAGGCTGACCAATCGAACGGGATTGCGGTGACCTAATGGCGTAGTTTAGCCTGGGGTACGCGCTGGTGAGACGGAAATTGAGCGGGCGTGAAAACCATCCTGGCCGCACGTATTCGGGTAGACGCCGAGCCCTCGGAACGGACGCACACGAGAGGGGGTTACGGTAGACGCGGGCTAGTGACTTAGACGCGAACACTGCCCGGCTAACGACGCACACAAAATCACGTGACCCGACCGACTCCCAAGTAAGGGGAGGAGGAAAGCAAGACAGGCGGTCCTATGAAGGGTCTTTTACGACCAACAAAGGGCAAATCACATCCAATGCTATGGGTCATTAAGTTAGGGAAAATAGCTACCACGACGAGGTGGTAGTTTGCAAAAGACCATTGTCAAAAGGTGCGCAGTTAGGGCGCGTCTCGGAGTGGCTGAACTCTGCTATGTTGTGAGGAGGAATTGGACCCCGCTGTCCGCAGCCATTATTCCGGAGTTTCTGGCGCGCTTTTGCGGGGATATTTGACGGGCCCGCAACAGTTGTCGAAAAACGGTTTAGAGCACGGGCGTATAGGATGTAATGTAGGAGTGCTTCACTCCGAGTGTTTCCATGGATTCAATAGGCGAAGCAATAAATCGAAGGTCTTGCCCTGGATTATGATCGAGGTTAGGGTCAGGTAACCAAACGTAGCTGGCGGAGTGCATCATTCAACCGAGTTTTAAATATAGCTAGCGTGGGTGCAGAAACAACCGAGTCGGGGAGAGCGTTTCATGGTTGACACGCACGAATAGAAAAAGAAATTTCTATAACCCGCCAGACAGCTGTACTGGTCTGCTAATTTCAAGGGGTGGTCTCTAATCTTGGTGTTACTGCTGAGTTGCAGTAAAGAGCGCCACACGTGCTTTGGATTGGGTAAGCTCCAGTACGGCATAATCAAGTCGTCCGTACTCGGTGCTACCGCCAGCTGAATAATCTCAAACGTTTCAGCCTTCTCTCGTATAGAAGGTGGCGCATGCTGAGGACGTATTTAGACTCTCGTCGTTTTGGCTGATCCAGTGCAGTAAGACCGTGCTTCAGCCATGGCTGCCAGACTTGGATGGCGTATTCGACCTGGGAGCCAACATACACATTCAGCATCTGCATGAAAATAGAGGTGTCCATATGTCCAAACGCTCATCGTAGCAAACCGACGTCCTGGCTACCAGTTTTCGATGCCTTTGAGAATTGCTTAGAACAACCCAAGTCATCCTGTACAAGCACGCCAAGGTCGCGTTCGGCGGATGATGACTGCAGTACTTGCGTTCTTAGGCTGTAGGAGTAGGTATTCTGGTGTCGTGTGGAGGGTACCTTGCATTCGTCAACATTGCGCTATAGCAGATTTTGGGTTGGACAATTACGCACCATAGCTAGATCACACTGAAGTAAATTCAGATCGTCACGCGCCTGAATCCGGCGATATATATTGATATCGTCAACAAACAGCAAGTAGAATCCAGGTAGAAGCCAATGTATCGGAAAAGCACCTTGTTTCGGTAACGAGGATTGATTGGTCGTCGATATATGCGAGCACGCTTAGAAAGTACACTTTGTTATGAATAGATCTGTCTTTAGGTAGAAGTACAGAAAACGTACTGTTGGGCGTGGGAACAGCGTGTTGGGCTTTGTTGTTATATGCGTTGTTGTAGTCAGGTACTCTGGATTAATGAATTATGAGTGGGAGTAGTTAGATTGATTCTATTTTTAGCAGACGTGGTGCTACAGGTAATGTGTCTTTTGCCTATGCCGAAATTGCTGTGGATAGGGAGGTGGTTGAGGGGAGTAAGTCTAATTTGGGGTAGGCGTAAGTAGTTGGCTACCGAGTCATCTGCAAAAGTTCCAGGAACAGTGGGAAAAAGTAGTTGGCTTCTGCTGGGTATGAAAGTAGTGGATAGATGACCGCGGCTCCATTCCCCTCTCTACTATGAAACTGTCGTATTGTGGGGTGTTGAGATGGGATGGGAGACAGCCTTGTCCTCATGCCATACTTCATCCGGTTAGCATTACTGTGCAGATTTTGCGGGATGGGAGTGAATTATTGCGAGAGGTACCTACAAGACCTTTGTTTGTGGTTTTCCTCGACTCAGCATATTGTTTTCAATAGCGTATGTGCGATAAACTTTACTAGACTTTATCAATTTCTACCGTATTCTTCATATATTTATTGATTTGTTGCATCCAAAGAGTGGGTAGGGGTTTCCAACAATATTAGCTTGACTGTCCATGGGGGTTCTTTGAGCAGTGAATTCAGCTTGTCACCCTGCTATAGAGCCTTTGACATTCAACTCTGTACAATACTTAGGACTTACTACATCATTTGTGAACGGTGAATTCAATTCGGTTGGCCCACAGCCGTCACGATTGAGAGAGTAACAGCTAGAAAGAGTTTGTTAGGTAACATTACAGCATCGTCAGGAACGGCGCTGCTCACGGTCCTTATCATATGGGGTGAAGAGCCGAGATCCACTTCAAAGTGCCTAGATACTGCATTAGATCAGTTATATTTTTGTGCTTTGTTCTAAAAACACAACCCAAAGAGCTGTTTGAGTCGGTGATGGTTACAAACTACCTTGGAAGACATTTGTAAAGGTGTGCGATCTGCTTCAATCAATACTTCGATGAACTTGGTCCGCTAGGTTATGTTGAGCTGGTTATTCAACAAACGGGTTCCTGTTTGTTCTCCAAGCTGACCACATGTGCTGCGGACGTTTCGTCACCAGTCGAGGTAACATTATCAGTGCCGCACTGCTTAGCGTACAGTCTAGTTTAGTGGGTCGTCGGCTCTTGATCGAAGGGCAAGTGAAAATTGAAACCGGCCTCTTCGCTTCATTTCACGTGCCCATCGGACAAGAGCCGATGACGAATTCAACTAGCTTTTACGTTAAGTAGTGAGCCACGGACGACGTCACCTCGACTTGTGACGGAAAGTCTGCAGCGCAAATGCTCAACACGAAAACAATCGAAAACCCGACCAGTCAACTCGAGCCACAAGTATTCCGATTTATCTAATCCAACAATGGGTTCGCAGATTCGTTAGTTGGAAATTTAAAAGCGATCGTGCTGCAGTGCACCAGTGTTTTCGTTTTCATATCACTTGTTCATTTATTAAAGACACGTGAAATATAAGTCACGCTGAATGGTATCCAGACAGATTACTGGAGCAAGTTGTTCTTACATGCAGGCAGCGAAATAGTTAAGTAACAGTGCTCGTCAACTAAAGTAGCAAAATAGGTCGAACATATTTACCTTGAACACACAACTCAGGTGTCAAATGGCGAAGGTACATGACCACGGCAATAGATAGCAATTGTTAAACGAAGCATAGTGTGCAGCGTTCAGGCAATGTGTGGAAAAATTCGCAGTCGTTCACTGATGCTGCATGGCCGTATTCAAGGTGGGTTTTCGGTTCTCTCCTAATGCTTTTCTTTCTCATATAAATGTCTAGTGGGCCATGCGCTGTGCCATTTGGGGCCACTACAGAAGCGACGACGGGTCCTGCAGAGAATTACGACGAGCCGGCGCAGCGTTTGTAGGCACGCTGAATTCGATTTACTAACCGCGTGCTTGCATGCTAAGTCTCTTTATTTCAGGTGGTGGGTTTACAGTTTTTACCTTAATGCTTTTCTTTCTCGTATAAATATCTCCCTGTACTCTATTCCATTAACTTGCACACATCGCTTCAGCCAATTGTATTCGAATTCCATAACATTTTTGTGTTCGTGGCATTCCGTGAACTATACTTCCTGACCTCGTGCACTTAGCTAGGATTTGTTTGTAAACAACTTATTACCTATGCTATTTAATTAAGGTTTATGTCACCGTTTCCTTATGCATTAATCGAGTTTATCTCTTTTTCTTTCTCTCTCTCTCAAGTGATAGGCTGTTGTTTGATATCCCCGGTGTGGCTGGCTTGATGTGCATGTTGACAAGGTGTCTACCTGTCTATTACCCACTACCTCGTCCATACTGGCTCCAGGAGACAGTTGGTCGTTGCTGGAGGGGACGGGGTGCACGGTCCTTGTGGCCGTGTTAGGCTCGAAGAGTGGTTCCATGCACTCAGTGTGGAGCGGACTACGGTCCAGCCACCGCCTTGTGTGCGCTTGATTCCCAAATACAGTGTGCTTGCGTTTGCCTGTGAAGGAGTGTGGGCCGGCTCCGTTGATGAAACGTGGTTCCCATCCGCATGCCTCCCGGTCTTATTCCTTCGGGTTTACACTGAGGCTGATGTTGCATTCTTAATGCTTCTTCACCGCAGTTGGGCTAAACCAACTTACACTTAAACTAGGTCTTTTTAAGCTGGATAAATTTCATTCCGCTTTATTTGGTTTGTTCTGCCTCCCTGAATAATGTTCTATTAACTGGCCACGTTGCTTACACTAATTGCGCTTATCTTCGGTAAGTTTGTTGCGTTTGTAGCATTTTAAGTAACTTGTGGACATTTCTTACTTATCACGGATTTGTTGCTAACCAACTTACTTCATATGGTAATTTAGCGAAGAGTTATGCCACCGTATCTGTATGCATTATTGGATTTATTTTATTTCAGCTTGTCGTTTAAAGTGAACGGCTGTTGTTTGATATCCCTGGTATGGTTTCGCTTGATGTGTATGTTGACAAGGTGCCTACCTGTCTATTACCCACTACATCGTTCATACTGGCTCCAGGAGACAGTTGGTCGTTGCTGGAGGGGACGGGGTGCACGGTTCTTGTGGCCGTGCTAGGCTCAAAGAGCGGTTCCATGCACTCAGTGTGGAGCGGACTACGGTCCAGCCACCGCCTTGTGTGCGCTTGATTCCCCAAATACAGCGTGCTTGTGTTTGCCTGTGAAGGAGTGTGGGCCGGCTCCGTTGATGAAACGTGGTTCCCATCCGCATGCCTCCCGGTCTTATTCCTTCGGGTTTACACTGGATATGGGGTATGTGGTTGGAGCTGTGGGTGGTACAGCGCAAGCCATCCATGGTTCCTCTGTAGGCGCAGGCGTCCTGTGGCTTGCCACAGTGACAGGCAAATCCGAAACCGGATGCCGCCAACCATGTATGTATGTATGTTCTAAATGCCTAGTTGAAGGGCCACAAACGGGTGTGTGTGTGTGTGCATATGTGCATGTGCGTGCTTACGTATGTGACGGATTCCAAGAAACACTCATAAATCCCTTCGATTGGTCGCCCATCCTCAAGCATACCCATCTTAAATGCCGGCGGTAATGGTGACGTCGCTAGCGTACATGGGTCGCGTTAACTCCTGGGTACCAAGCGGTTGCTGCTTACAATATTCCACACTCGTTCGTACATTGGATTGAACAATTGGGTGTAGTGATCAACAATTATCCCTGGAATTCATGTACTCTACAACCCTTCCTCGCTTTGGAATGCAGTTTGGAAAATCGGTGTTCAAGACCCAACAACTTTTGTTGCAAGTGTCCACACGTTGGCTCGTCCATGTAAGCTGAATAATCCCGGCAAGTCAGTGACTAGCGATTAACATGCTGATGTTGATGCTACATGTTCTGTCTCATATATTAGTCACAATAATGGGTGTAGCTATATTTCCAGCTGAACATCGCTCATACTGAAGTTAGGATAAGTCAGCCGTTATCGAGATAAGGTGCGGAAGAGCAAACGTTCCTTTTACAATTTAAATTAAAAATGACCAATCATCTAGATTGACGTAAAAGTAGATTAGTCCAACTATGGTGTTACGGTAGTGTTTAAATAAATATTTAATTGGAAAATACCATCAGCACAGAAACAATTGATTTGTATGCTGACAGTTTGTTAGTAAATTGTAAGTGGTAAAATTATGATGAGAAATCCAGTTCGCATGGGAATATCATACGTTCAGTTAACCACCTTATCTGCGCCATCTGCCGAGGCTCTTGATACCCATTATTTGTCTGCCCTCATATGATTAACTATGCAATGCTCACTGTTTCCATTGCAAATCACACCATTGGTATGGAGATTTACTGGTTCACTGCTTTCTCAGCCATGTCTAAGTGGTTCCATTCCAAATCCCGTTGTGAAGATATCATCGTGCCCAGGTGTCCCACGACATACTCATTTCAGAGATATTAGATTATTAAATGTTGGGCAAGGTACTTCTTGTAAGTTTGCTAAAACAGCTTGCACACTCTTTCAAAAGCCGATGATAGAACAGGGAGCAGCGGACTTTTCCACATGTGCATTTAGTACATTTAGTTGTGCATCATTCTACCTGGTAACCATACTCACAGCATTTGCTTTCGTATTTCCATATCTGTCTCAATCTATTGTTGATACCCACACTTCTGTCGTTTCGGTTCCCATCCAAACGCTAACTAACCACTGACAGTCGTATTGGTTACTTATAATTCGACTTGCGATTTTCTAAAACTAGAGCAATCTGACTGTTCTTCTTTCATTCAATCCAAACTCATGCACGTACGTTGTGCTATGGTTCATGACGGTTAGTATTTCTTCATCCAGTTTGTGGTAGTCCATACACAAGTGTGAACAAATGCCCGTTTGCAACATTGCAGGTACTGTCACTCGAACCAAGGACTTTCGGTATGTCAACTGATATCTCACGTTGAATGACTAAGTGGAAGCCATTTAGAAACAGTTATAAGCACCACAATTCAGCCTGACGAACTGATGGTATCTTCACTCGCGTAACACCATGATCTGCTGACTCGATGTCTAAATGGGACTCGGCTAAAGTACAAAACGCGCTAACATCTGTTCGTGTCTCGATACATTACCACTTGACAGATGGATCTTATTACATTTCTTCTCGTGTGACACCGTGACTTATTAGGGGTTGCAAAATGAGGTCAATGTATCCCATCTCAAGTGTCTCTATACGCCCCATTGTACTGCGGCCGCCTTCAGGTAAACGCACTGAGATTCAGACAAGTCATCAAGGTTGATTCCCGGAACAGCGGCAATACGTTGTGATATCCGAATCGAAATGCATGGGCATAGATAGTATTCTAAACACTGATGGATTGGTCAAGATATGCTAGCGGTCCGAACGAATGACCAAGGGGAAATAAATAGTAACACATGACGGACTGCTTGATGGTTCTACCTCCCTGTTGATTCACGCTCACCTCGGACAACAGACGATTAGAACCGGCTCTGGTTTTACCTTACGACACGGATAGCCTGCAGTGGACATAATCGCACCATTTCCCTGCTAAATTGACAAGTTGCTTACGCCATCTCCGTCATTCATTTTGGTGTCATCCTTATTCTATATACCGCATGTAAGTCGGGCTTGGGTGCAGTTCATTTTAGAATGATTAACTACTGATTTGGTGCAATGTGGTATCTTTATTGCACCTGCCTAGAACGGATGAGCCACAGGTAACCTAACTTTTTTAGGCTTATTTAACTCGGTTGTATTTCGCGATGACTTCACGTGTTGCCCATTACGATATTGTACTCATCATGATCTATGCTATGCTATTCTTGCTACCTCCTCAAGCGGCGTCTAGTAAGGTTACATACCGAGAGTGAGCTATGGCATCTTCATTTTCGTATTATTATTCGGCCGCGATTCATATCACTATGTCAGCTCCATGGTATTGCTCACCATAACTGTAGCTTGACTAGCTGCTCAATGCTAACTTGCATGATGCTTAGAGAGCCGGTGCATCGCAGAATAATGGTTCAGTCCATCCATGAGGTCATTCGTAATTGATGTGAGTGCGGTATTTACGAGCGATTTGTGTGCTTACTACGGATCAATGCTAGGGTGGCAAATTATTGTGCATGTTTCCAGTTCGATGGATACGTTTTGAATCAAAAGGTTATCATCGCTTGGCCGTTTACAGTACGCATAAAATGTCAAATTTGACATTTGTAACACAATGCTCAACGATTGTCCTTCGTGTGCCCACTTTGGATTATGCATTCGAAGAGAAATTTCCCTGGAAAATCTGTGTCAAGTGAACAATCCCGACAATTAACCGACTAGCGATTATCACGATGTTGCCATTCCATGTTCCACTCCGCAGGCTAGTGATGAGAGTGAGTATAGTTATAGTTCCAGTTATCCCTCAGCCATACTGAATTTACCGGGGCCTATGAAACACACGTATTAACCGGATGGAAGGCAGACGTGCAGAGACGCCTACCAGAATTTGCATTGCACATGGCCAATCTTTTGAATGGATTAAGTAAAAGGTTGCATCTAACGGGAATGGTACGTCAATGTGTTATTATATAACATCGGAAATGAATCGGCGCATAGCGACAATGGTTTTATGAGTACCAAATGGGCTGCACCTGGAACGTACTATATAGACCGTTAGCAAATAGCTTATGGCCACAGTAGAGTACAGGTCGGTAGGTATAACCGGTTGAGTACTTGGACATTTGCACAATAAATGTGAACACTGTTTGGAAAGTCGCATGTTTGACAGTGGGCAGCGGGACTTAGTTGATGTTACTTGTCAATACCAAAGGATGCGCATCAATCGTTCTTTGAGTAGGTGCACATGCCTCGGGCAGCACATGACCGAACCGGTCGGAGACACAGAGAGCCAGAAGTGGACACTGTATCGCATTCACATGCTGTGTGATCTCCCACATCAGCTACTCAAACCAGACTGTACATGTAGAGGGCAACACCTAAGTGCACACTATTTCACTGTACCAGTAGTCTAGTCATCATTCTACCTAGCAGTTGCTTTACTATTGCCACATCGGATTCCTTCAAATATGGATGCCCAAAATTTAAGGCAGTCACGTCTAAAGGTAGAAGAAAACATCAACAGTTCGTATTGGGTAGTTATTCTCATACCTGCGAAAGTGGCTGTTAGCCTGACCTCCAAACGAAACCCATACACGTTTGTCATACCATTGATGATGATGTCTAATGTGCCTTTATGCAGTTTGTGACAGCTCACACTTAAGTTTGGATAAACGCATGTACATATGTTGCATTCGAACTGCCATTGGACACAGATGACGCCAATCTATGTATATATGTATACCGAATGAATTCCACGAGGATCTTCATACCGCTTTTGTACGGTTAACTTAGTGCAGTAGAACGACATTCGAGCAAACCGAAAATAATATTACCAGAACATGAGGAAGGTGAGTTTATGACAAACTCATGTTGATTTCAGGTGTTGCGAATCCAAGGCAAATTTGATCGATGCGAATTCCGTGAACTACTCAAAAGGGCGGTTTCTTAGGTGCCGGAGAAGGCACTATAGTATGTGGAATAGAAGCACCATGAGTATGTTCCCATTCAATTTACTAATCCAGGCCAATAAGGCGGCGTATGTGGTACGTTTGCCTGCGTGATGAGTAATCTTGCATTTCAGAAGTAGATGTTGCTTGAGCACCCCTGTGTGGATGCGCCTGATGTGAATGTTGACAAGGTGCCTACCTGTCTATTACCCACTACCTCGTCCATACTGGCTCCAGGAGACAGTTGGTCGTCGCTGGAGGGGACGGAGTGCACCGTCCTCGTGACGGTGCTAGGCTCAAAGAGTGGTTCCATGCAATCTGTGTGGAACGGGCTACGGTCCAGCCACCGCCTCGTGTACGTCTGGTGTGTATGGTTTCCCAATTAGGCCGGAATGCTTCCGATCTGCTTGTTGAAGGAGTGTGGGCCGGCTCCGTTGATGAAACGTGGCTCCCATCCGCATGCCTCCCGGTCTTATTCCTTCGGGTTTACACTGGATATGGGGTGTGTGGGTGGAACTATGGGTGGTGCAGCGCAAGCCACCCATGGTCCCCTTTGTAGGCGCAGGCGTCCTGTGGCTTGCCACAGTGACAGGCAAATCCGAAACCGGATGCCGCCAACCATGACAATATCAACGGTCAGTGCCCTATGCTGAGGCTGAGGTTGCATTCTTGATGCTTCTTCACCGCAGTTGGGCTAAACCAACTTACACTTAAACTAGGTATCTTTCTAAGCTGGCTAAATTTCATTCCACTTTATTTGGTTTGATCTGCCT